CATATGTCATAACTCCTTTTATGGTGCCTATTAAAGAAAATTTTGTTAAGAACTGGTTGGGGGCCCTGACTAAGGTTAGGATTTTGAACGGCTTTAATTCATTTAATGGGCCTATTTGCATTAGATCATTTGACCATTGCGATCGATCTTGCGTCAGACAATTTGGACCTGTTTTCCTCAAATGGTTTTCTAAAACATGGAACGGTAACTGACCACGTGAAAGAATATCGGCAACCTTGTTAGTTATATGCCCTGACTGAATAGCCTCACGCATGTTTTGAACGAACCCAGTTTTTAAATTTGAATTTCTTGCAAATTTCCTATCTAGCGAGAGAAACTGTCTCTCCACAAGTTTTCGCGACTCACCTAAGAGATTAATTTTATCATTGAAAGGTAGACATACAATATAACGACCTGTATTGAGATCGCATCTCGTAGTTTTCTTAGACTGTTCCTCAACTTGAATCTCCTCCTCTGATAGAAACGGTTTCGTGGAGATTTCCTCAATTTCCCGAGATATCGACCTCTCTAATGAAGCACACGTAACCATGAATGTTTTGTTACTTGCGTTTTTTGCATCTTCACCTATCTTGCCGGAAATAATCCAACCTAAACGAGTCTTACACAATTGCGCCTTATGACCTGGTATTTTAATTACCCCTACACTCATTAAGTCATTAAATATGTCGACACCTAATAAAGCATCTATCCCTTTGGGCTTATGAAACTCTGGATCTGCGAGATTTAGGTTGTGCGGAATAGTTAGCAATTTTCGATTAATGACTTGCTCGGGCAATCGATCACATATGCGCGACACAATTAAAAACTCTACCTTTTCTTCGTATTTACCGGATTTAGCGCTAATTTTTGCTTGAATAGATTGTTTTACGCGTGTCTCAATTTTGTTTAAGCTTTCTACCGGACAATCGATGTGTTTAAACGGTAAATGCAATTGCTTTGCAAACCTCTCCGTCATTAAATTTACCTGAGCACCATTATCTAATAAAATACGTGCTTGGACGCTTCTCCCATTTTTTCCTATTACATTTATTAACGCCGTGGACAACAACACCTGTGACGAAACTTTCGTCGTGTACACCTTGGGAGCGGACGAACTCGCTTCGTCTTCACTCTTANACTAGATGTCAGCAGTGAATGTCAGTCAGGACCCTTATTATCTATTTATATAATAATTAACCTGCTGACCCGGCGTCGCGTTGCTGTGGCCCATCAGCTCTAATTCGTTGTAGGAAAATTATACTATACTTTTTAATACAGTCTAATTAAAATTCACTAATTCACTGTTTTTCCTGGAATATAGAGTATTTTGAGTAAATTGTACCGTCAAAACCAAACGCATAGGTTTACATTTGTTCCGATTTTTCCCCTCCATCCCTCTTATTTCAAAATGGGCTCAGATTCCACCTATATATCATATAAGAAAAATGCTATAAATTACTTAAAATGCTGATGTACCAAGCGGCAGAAGTTTGGAGTGACATGACTTTAATACGCGTAACTATGTTTCTGCCATGGGCAACAATATGTCACCTGCTCGCGTGGTAGCAGAAGACGAGCTAGCTAAAAATATGTGCACCAATCAGCACTTACGGTAAATAGATTATTGAAATTTTAAAATAACGTTCCATACTCATTTCCGTGGGTTTTTGAATCGGCTAAAACGTTTTCATACAAACACCGTCATCTTATGCAATTAATTAACGTCTAAAAAAATCTGGTTTCCTTTTTCACTATGCATGCATGTTGGGTTGCCTTTACGTGACAGGGTATGTTGGGTTGCCTATTGTAACATAACATAACAGTTTAGCTCAGAATAATTTGCAGTTGTTTTTAAACATTATTGAAAGGCATACGCATATGTACTCATTTTCAGCGTTTTATACATTACACCTACGGTTGCCTACATGTCATAATATTTATGGAACTTACAAATAATTACAAAATACTGTCCTATATAATAAACATAGACCTTTAAGTTGCCCAAATTACACACAGTTAGCCAAATTAGTAATAATTCCTTTCCTTTATTTGTGGTATGAGATTTTTCGTACCGATTTCCAATATTTTAGGTCAGTGGGGATATGCTTTGATATCGTGAACCGACTGACGACGAAGGTAATGTGGAACCCTAAAAATAACTTTGACCAGACTGTATTAAAACCTTGTTAACTCGTTATAATATCATATTAACATCCCTCGTACATCTTCCAGTTGCAATGTAATTTAATCGAACGATGATTTTGCATAAGACCTGTAGCGGACTATTCTTTTTTTTCCGCTGCATGCTCGCGGTCACGCGGATTGTAATTCAACTGAAACGGGTTTCTGTACCACGAGAAGACGTACTAACGGATTATTTTGTTTCTCATTCTTATTAGGATGGCTTTCGAATAAGACATAGTGACAATTCTTATGTAAATTTATGATAGTGGTCAATGCGGGCAAAAATAGATTTCCATTAAAGATAAAGTCACTCTTGGGTTTATTTGCGTTGTAAATAGTGACATTGACATTGGCAGCTTAATATCTACGACGCTCACAATTTATATGTATAAGGTCCTTAATAGGCAGATTGAAAATGAATACAATGTTAATTAAAGACTTGGTAGGAAACAAGAAAAGTCTATAAATTCTGACGTTTAATTTAAATTTATAAATATATTGGAAGCATACACTGATTGAATTCAAACTGTTTAAGTAACTTACTACATGTATATAATACGTACGTACTGTGCTTAAGTGCTTAGTAGGCTTAAAAGGCTTCATAATGTTTCAATTTTTTTTATAATTTTGCTCTTTAATGTTAATGTCCTTTTTCAAGAGTAGCGTAATAACAACGTAGGTACTTTTGAAAAAGATATCAGCAGCAAATCTAGATTAATGGAAGTTATGAAAATATATTTTATATAATAAATTTTACTGCCTGGAAATTTTGAAGTAGATGGACGAAAAAATGTACCTATTAATTTTTTACAGTATCTGTACTGCTAGACAAAGGTTTAACAATAAAGCATATCTCTTAAACTACTCAACGAATTTTTTTGCAGTTTTCAGTAATAGATAGAGTGATTCAAGAGAAAGGTTTATATGTATAATACATGCATATTTTAGTGCAGAAAAGCCGCTAAATTCAAAGATTTGTGATAAGATATCGTAAAACAAATTGAAGTGAAACTTTTTTACGCACGGTAGGGTGAGTTCGTTTTATGCGAGCCGCTATGTAACGAAATCATGCAACGGATGTCCCCCTCTACTCGGCCACGTAGTCGAGTTCGTAGTAGGGATCGCTTGAGCCGTGAGCGCGCTTAAATGTAACGTTCGTTACAGGCAACTTCGGCATATATAGTGTATCCCTAACAAAATGTATGAATGTATTTGTATGTGTTTGTGTATGTATGCCTACACTCTTTCACTTCGGTAGCGTGTTGTATAATTACACGTTGTATTTTTTTTAATACACAAATATCCTGGGAAATGTATACACTTCCTAGGAATTGTATGAAATTCCGATATTGTATTAGAAAATGTATAAAACTAATGCTTTCTGTGAATAAAATAAATAAAACACGTTTTAATAAACTGAGAATCAGTGTTATTTGTGTTTATGCGGTTCTAGTGCAATTGCATGATGTATATGTCTTGGCGACGTTATTGTTTGATTAGGTTAGGTTTATAGATCTATATGCATTAGTGACGTTTTTGTATGGTTATTAGGTAGATTTATGAGACTGGAGTTTCTTGCCCTTGCCCAGGTGGGCTGATATGTCAGAATAAAGTCTTCATTACGATCTCTGCGCCCAACGTATATACACGAAAATGATCAACATTATCACCTCTACAACAAATAAAATTCCAAGATCATTACAAACTGAAACAAAGATAACATCGTCACATTATTCTAACATTTTACATATCAGCCCGACTCTAGCGAGCAGGGATATTGAAGAAACTCCAGTCTGTCATAAATCTCACTAAGCAAACAGATGGATATAGGTACATCTCCAAACAACCTGCCGTATTATTGCCTATTTAGTATTATCTGTAATACATTTTCGATTGTTATTTAGGAAATGTATAGATTTCCTCGGAAATGTGTCTAATATAATTTATTTCACACATTTCCGGGCGATTTTAGGAATCGTATACATTTCCTAGGAATTGTATACAATGACGGATTTCATACATTTTTGGTAACATACATAAAGATATCCTGTAGTATAGACTAATTATAATCATAATATTATTAATCACTCTATATTAGTGCGAAGCCTATTAGTCGCTTAGTTTCATATAAAATGAACAAGGACTGCCACAGGATTTATTGTTAATTTTAAAATAAGTAGTCGGTAAAAGTAGAAGGGGGAATTTTTATAGATAGAGTTTTTAACTAAAAAGGAACACATGGTTATAAGACATTTGTAGACACAAGGAGGTATGATTTCCTAGGCTGAAATCACAATTATCGTCGGCGGTCGATAAAAGATCATTGCGTGTGATGCCACTAATCGCGGGAAAGTAACAAATTTAAATTTTAAAGCAGCATATGCCGTTTTTAAATTTATTTCAATATTCTTTTGTTTCTGAATTTTTAGGACTAATTGTAGACGAATATTAAAAAAAAATGGAAACTTCCTAATTGCAGAATGTTTTTATGAAATCTATGAAAATATTGATAAATGTTATGTAATCAGTTTCAACTATCTTTTCCAACATCTATCGAAAATTACTGTAAATAGGTTTATTACTTATTTCGTTAACGGTTTTATTCACTTCCTTAAGAAGAATACGTATCTACACCAATGGAACAAGCAAGTGCGTGAAATACTGATGTGATCAGATGGTCACAACAGGATGCTTACGGTCATCAGATATTGTTGCAGTATTAACTATGTAAAAGGGCGTAAACGATTTTACGATAAGACCACCATTATCTGAAATCCCGCTTGTCTACTCTATAATTTATATAATTAGATTATTACCTTAAGGTATAAACGTCCCTGGGGCTGTTAGGTTCACCGTCCAGAGCACACCTTTCTCCGTCGGCAGCTTCAACAGCGATACGCCCTCCAAAGTACGGCCCTGTAGATACTTCGATCACACTAGCGTGCGGAAGACATTGAGTTGCTCTAGCGGAAACTGAAAAATAAAAGAAGTTTTCAATCGTAATTTTTTATGAATTTCTCATATTATAATTAGTTTGTAGTGAAAAGTATTCATCAGCAACCGTAGATGAAATACTCATGCACATTTTTTATCTTAATTGTTTTCGTATCTTAGGTTATGGTAATTTTAACAATATAAAAGGTGACTGAAAATATGGCCACCAAGTTGCCATATTTTCCTTATGGGATTTTTTGGTGCTTCCTAAAAGAACTCTCCGAAGATATCTGATAGACAAAAAATATGAACAATCTAAATTGGAAAGAAAACCACTTCTTAGTGCTCAGGAAGAAAAGGAGCTAGCATTTCGTATCATTAAGCGATGTTCGATACCCTTTGACTCGCATGTGCGTCAAGAAGTATTGTGAGGCAAACAATATTATTTATTATATTACTATATTATTTCCTAGTTATTAATGTTACATTTAAAAATAATTTGTGTTTGATTTTATTAGTGTTATTAATGTTTCTTTGTTCATTTTGTTAGTATTATGGTTTTGTTAAGTTTTTTAAGTATTTGATTTGTTCAAATTGTATGAGTTTCAGATTCTAAAAATGTATTTCGTTTAAAAGATGAAAACCACTTAAAAATAGAAATTGCCTACATGATTAATTTATGTCGTTAATGTGATCACCATGCATGGTCATATTTAACTGCACTATCGTAAATATGGTCACTTTCCAAGTTATTAAAAATTAATTATTTATGTTCAATTCTATTTATATGTTGTTTTCTTTGTCCTATAATATGATACTTAGGTAAATACACTACGAAATAAAAAAGGATTAGTAACCTCAAAATGTAAGCAATGCGAGAAAACTGATGTGAAAGCTTAAGATAGCCGTATCCGACCCAGGTACCTTACTGCAACTGGAAACAAAAAGATATTTGGACGTAAATGTGAGGATCAGAGATCAGAGTTCTCTATTCGACATTGTTTTAAAATTTTGTAATAATCACGTTCCTGGATTAAGTTAACTTGTTAGTACATGAGATAGCTTGAGCTTCTCGGTAATATTGTCGTGACGTTTGTTTAACTATAAACGTTTCGCAGCAATGGTTAGTAGTGCGTTCCGTGTTACACTCAACGACTGAATAACACTAAACGCATTAGGAGTTTCAGTTCAAATTCAATTATAATGTTTCAATAGTAAAAGAACTGCCATCTAACTATCAAACAAAAGGAAGGTCATTACTGCAACAGGACTAACTTCGTTCGTGTTTTCTTTTCCTACCGTATTTGTCAAAAAAGATAGTTGGCATCGCTGTATTATGGAATTAATTTAAGAGACGGTGTCGTAAACTCAAGATCCGCCGAAGAGATTCGTAAAAAATAAACGTGTCAATTAGGAAGAAAAGATGTATTACATTGTCCGGGAGTAGAACCCAGCCGGCTCGCCTTACGCACATGTCACAAACCACCACTCTTACCAATAAAATAATGATGCTGCTTGAAACTCTGTTATAGAAATCATCATTTTGTGCGTCCGCAATGATCAAAGCCGGTTCCTTAATTAAAATTGTACAACCACACCATTGAACCGCATTAATCTAACCAATCTGCTAAATTAATTCTTCAATTACTCAAGAACGATTTGTACGATTTCAATAAAATTTGATTTGTAGATATCTCTATGATACTATTAATTGTAACAGATGCCAGCTCTGAAGGCGCTTTATGTATTAGAACTATAGAAACTAAAGTATAATATACAGGTTGTTTCAAAAAGAACTTTACAACTTTTAAAATTCATATAAATTTATTCAGAGAAACTACAGAGCTGATTGCAAACCGACCAAGTTTTAACTGGCGTAGTTTTCTAGTACAAAATCGCGCCGCAACGACCACTAGTGGCAGTTGCGTTAAACATAGTCACCTTTACTGGATCGAGGCGTGCTAGCTATGCTGTGTGCGGTATTTGGGGAAGTGAAAATCCACATTAAACATTGCGAATGTTCGTGAAAGCCCTAAAGTCAACATTTTTTTGTGCACTGAGCAGGACAATAGTTTTCGGTTCTTTTTTTATTTTCAAGAGAGATCTATCAATGAGTTGATGTACCTGGATATGCTAGAAATCTTTTTAAAATTATAGATCGATGAGGACGACCAAAAATGTATTCAGTATAGTAGACTACACCATTACCTCAGTGACAATGACGTCCGGCATTTTCTCAATAACCGCTTTTCAGGTCAACGGATTGACTGAGATGCGCCAATTGCATGACAGTCATGTTCTTCAGACGTAACACCTCTTGATTTTTTGCCCTTGCCAGCTTCTCTACGTGAGCTAAGAGCAAAAATTTACGCCTCCGTTGAGCAAGTTACACCTGCAATGTTACAGCGAGTTCGGGAAGAAATTGACTACAAATGGGATGTGTGCAGTGTGAAGAATAACCAATGGAAGTCACATCTTCAGTTTAAGGTAAAAGAAACTTGATGAATTTCCCTATAAAATAACACTAAAACCAGCTCTGTAGTTTCTGCGAATAAATTTATACGCATTTTCAAAGTTGTAATGTCATTTTTGAATCATTATGAAGAAGTAAAATAATTCGAAATGGTCTGTATTCTGTCGAAACTGCAAGACGCGGATCGCGATTTCGATCTTTTTGGATGCTACATTTTAGGATTACGTATGCTCAACAAGGTCCACTTGTGTGGATATCTACTTGCTGAAAACGAATCCCGGCGTAGCCAACCTCAACGTTAGCTTAAGCATTAAGCTAACCTGCCTAAGTAGATATCCACACAAGTGGACCTTGTTGAGCATACGTAATCCTAAAATGTAGTATCGTGCTACATATGACGTTTACTGCGCCATTTGTAGTATTTTATAAAATTATGAAGAAGCTTTGTAGAAATGTTAAAGAGCACAAAATCGTAATGAGCATATATATGAATCGCCAACCTTTTATTGAAAAATGGAAAATGCTCTAATACTTCAGTACCTACTTGATGGTAGGTACGTGCGATGGAAGTGAAACTTGTACTTTTGATTCTGCTGTTGGTATGAAAAATGCGGTAAGTATAATGCCACGTAGCTCCAAGCAGTTCGATAATACTAAATATGTATCTACAGCGGAGTCTTTATTGTACACGTCTCACGCGCACCGTGACGAATTTTAGAGTAGCTAGATCGCATTCTCTTTATTAAGTTTTTTTTTTAATGACTGATGGTACATATCAACTGTAAGTCTGCGTCAGCTCCCTTACAATAGGCACATACTGTACAAGGGTGCGAATTCTCTGTGCTTTCAGAAAGATTAAACTTTTTAGTGACCCACACAACTTCAGAGAGTTTGCTAAAAATTGAAGATGAAAAAAAAATTCCTGCATCAATAATTTTCGTCAATGGTTCTTAAACAATATCCACCGTTTTTTTTTTTTAATAACCCTAAAACGCTTCGTGCAATTTGATTAAAATTTAATATGCAGATATTTCTGTGGTGGTACTAATTTTTGATACACTTTTCACTAAAATACGAAGAAGTCAGAAGGTGCTCCTAAACCTTGATTGTAATTTATTTTAAAGTTCGATTTATTCTCTCAATATCTTTCTTCTCGAAGGATGTTGTATTTATCTACACTTCTTATATTTTGGTAAAAAATCGTATCTGCAACTATGTTTTGGACGAATAAAAATACATGGCATTAGATTTAATACACATTTATATGCGAACAAACCATCTACTAAAAATTTTTTGCCATTCATCTTTTGAAACACAATCACAGGCCTTATCCCATGCATTTAATACTTAATTCATCCGCACTTGCGAATTCCTGAACTATCTCAGTACTACTCACTACTTTTTCTAATTTTTCGTCTTCTATCTTTATATCTGCTCTTTCCCTACTTTTCCTTCCCTTGCATACCAGTATTTTTGTTTTACTTTTATTTATTTTCATACAAAACTATTTTGTTAATACCGCTTCCATTTTATTTAAAGCTACCTCTAACTACTTCTTGTTAGATGCTAATACTGCTATATCATCTGCAAATCTAAGCATACTAATCTTTTGCCTCTGTATATCTATCCCTACAGTTGTACTGTCTGTAATGATGTTGATCGCGTCTTCGATGTAAAGATTAAAAAGTAGCGGTGACAGTGTGCATCTCCGTCTGACTCCCTTCCTAATATTTACCTCTCTACGTTGTAGCCCCATCTCTATAACTACCTGTTGCTCTTTATACAAACTAAGTATCACTCTTCTATCTTTGTAACTCATTCCTACATTTTTAAGTATATTTAACATCTTGTCCCTCTTAACCTTGTATGCACTCTTTCCTTTTTCTATCGTTTTCTCTATTATTACCCGTAAAGATAGATGGACCGTCCGCGTTCCTCTGTTTTTTCTAAACCCAAATTGATCTTCCCCTAATAGTTTTTCTGTCCTTTCTTCCGCCTTCTTTGTACAATTCTAGTTAAAATTTTCACACATGAGAAGTTAAGGTTGTTTGCCGTGTTTCCACGAGCAGTATTTTCTCAGAATGTTTTTGGATAAATGACCAAAGTGAATAAAATTCCAATGTAAAACAAAACTATGTACACACTTTATTTACAACACTTAAACATATTCAGAACATGAAGACAATGTAAAAATGGAAGACAAAATTAGCGACAAAAAATAGATCTGGTTAAGCTGGACGACAAAACTTAACTTTTTGAACTGAACTAAGCTACTACAACAAATGGAATAAAATCAAACTATAATATTACCACCACCAGTACCTGCGAGAACAAAGCTATAGAAAAGTATAGGAAAAGACCCAAAAATACATAGACATCAGTACAGCGTAGTGCAATTAAATAAGGGTAGCTGACCGACGAAGCCTTCGTAGAATTTATCTATTGGGACCTAATGTTTAGAGAGGCCCCAACAGGGTGATATTTGTAATAATGTACATTTATACACTATAGCAGCCAATGCAGTAACTTATATAAATATTAAAAATTACACCATGCTTATATTGCA